GACGCCTGTCTCACATTTTCAGGAAGACTGTTCCAGATTTGAGCTGCATGAATCTGAAGTACTGCTTCCCCATGTTTAGTCGGTTCTACTTCCTCTTTAGTCTGATACAGCTCTGACTGTAGACGCTGCTCCCTCTTCACTACAACAGTCTGATACAGCTCTGACTGTAGACGCTGCTCCCTCTTCACCACGACAGTCTGATACAGCTCTGACTGCAGACGCTGCTCCCTCCTCACCACAACAGTCTGATACAGCTCTGACTGCAGACGCTGCTCCCTCTTCACCACAACAGTCTGATACAGCTCTGACTGTAGACGCTGCTCCCTCTTCACCACAACAGTCTGATACAGCTCTGACTGCAGACGCTGCTCCCTCTTCACCACAACAGTCTGATACAGCTCTGACTGCAGACGCTGCTCCCTCTTCACCACAACAGTCTGATACAGCTCTGACTGTAGACGCTGCTCCCTCTTCACTACAACAGTCTGATACAGCTCTGACTGTAGACGCTGCTCCCTCTTCACCACAACAGTCTGATACAGCTCTGACTGCAGACGCTGCTCCCTCTTCACCACAACAGTCTGATACAGCTCTGACTGCAGACGCTGCTCCCTCTTCACCACAACAGTCTGATACAGCTCTGACTGCAGACGCTGCTCCCTCTTCACCACAACAGTCTGATACAGCTCTGACTGTAGACGCTGCTCCCTCTTCACCACGACAGTCTGATACAGCTCTGACTGCAGACGCTGCTCCCTCTTCACCACAACAGTCTGATACAGCTCTGACTGCAGACGCTGCTCCCTCTTTACCACAACAGTCTGATACAGCTCTGACTGCAGACGCTGCTCCCTCTTCACCACAACAGTCTGATACAGCTCTGACTGCAGACGCTGCTCCCTCTTCACTACAACGGTCTGACAAAACGATCATATCACTGCTCACGCTGCATCGATCCACCTGTCAATCTCACGCTCCGTCCTTCCTTCACTGAGAACAAAACCCTGAGCTACTTGAAGTCCTCCACTTAAGAAAGGACGTTTCCACCTGGAGCCTTTCCACTGAGGAGGCTGCCAACAACCTTGGTAACTTCAGGGAGATGGAAGTTTCCGCCCCAACATCCTCAGCCTCTGCCTCTGAGGCGGAGGACATGACGGGGGGATTGACGAGAAGCTCAAAGTATTTTTTCCGCTGCCCAAGACTATCCCCAGTCGAGGTCAGCAGCTCTCCACCCACACAGTACAGTGTTGGCAAAGTACTGCCCTCCTGAGACTCCTTCTACAGTCTGACGGCATCCCCTACTACCAGTGTCCACCACCAGGTTCAGAGGTTGCCACCGGGACCAGCACCGGAGACCCTGCAACCACAGCTACAAACTGCTGCATCAGGGTTAGAGGAGAACTTGGTCCTCTCAGACTCAATGTCCCTGCAGAGGTTAGAGTTGTGACTGTTGCAGGTGAGAGCTGTTTGTATTTGTTACAGATGTCACTTTCTCAGCCGTTTTCCAGCACACGCCACGATTACAGTCCGACCCCCACCCCCCTCTCTCTCCCCCGCTCTTCCTGGATCTGTTCTAAACATAGCTGTCATGTCTCCAGCAGGTTTGAGAATTCCCATACATTTCCTGTTACTCCGTCAATTTATGTGACAGGAAGTCAGATGAAAGACGACTGAGAGAGGACTGAGGAGAGAGGACTGAGGAGAGAGGAGAGAGGAGAGAGGAGAGAGGACTGAGGAGAGAGGAGAGAGGACCGAGGAGAGAGAAGAGAGGACCGAGGAGAGAGGACTGAGGAGAGAGGAGAGAGGACCGAGGAGAGAGGACCGAGGACCGAGGAGAGAGGAGAGAGGACCGAGGAGAGAGGAGAGAGGACCGAGGGGAGAGGAGAGAGGACTGAGGAGAGAGGACTGAGGAGAGAGGAGAGAGGACTGAGGAGAGAGAGGAGAGGACTGAGGAGAGAGAAGAGAGGACTGAGATAGATAAGATAAGATAAGATTAGATAAGATAAGATTAGATAAGATAAACCTTTATTAGTCTCACAGTGGAGAAATTTCAGTGTCATCGTTGCACATTACAGCAGAGAAAGGAAATAAGAGCACTCAGATTGCACACATCTAAGTCTATTATTTAAGATAATAGACAATAAATTTAAGGTAAAATAAAATAAAATAAAATAAGAAACTCTGGGCTATAATTGCATTTGGTTCGGAGTATTTACAGATGTCTATATTATACATTAGCAGCGGAGAATATGAGAATATGAGCAGAATAAACATCAGAAATAATATCAACAGGTAAAGTGACTTGAATGGGAGAATTATCAGATGGATATGAATAATACAGTAAGATATCAACAGGTAAAGTGACGGTGAAAGGCAGAATTATCAGATATGAAATAATACAGTAGTACTGATAACAGGTAAAGTTAATAGTGAATTATCAGAAACACTTGTGCAGACTCAGCAGTTCCTGTTACACATTCTCGTTGTACAGTCTGACAGCAGCAGGAAGGAAAGACCTGCGAAACCTCTCCTTCACACAGCGAGGGTGAAGGAGAGAAGAGAGGAGAGAGCACTGAGGAGAGAGAAGAGAGGAGAGAGGACTGAGGAGAGAGAAGAGAGCACTGAGGAGAGAGGAGAGAGGACTGAGGAGAGAGGAGAGAGGAGAGAGGACTGAAGAGAGAGGACTGAGGAGAGAGAAGAGAGGACTGAGGAGAGAGGACTGAGGAGAGAGGAGAGAGGACTGAGGAGAGAGGAGAGGGGACTGAGGAGAGAGGACTGAGGAGAGAGGAGAGAGGACTGAGGAGAGAGGAGAGGGGACTGAGGAGAGAGGAGAGAGGACTGAGGAGAGAGGAGAGAGGACTGAGGAGAGAGAAGAGAGGACTGAGTGTGTTATAAAACTTGAGGGTCCTGAGCCTATCTCCCCCCACCACATGCTGATTCACTGTCTTGATATTTGACCTGTCAATCACCTCCAGGGGGCGGGCTTCTGCAGCTCTGTATTGATGTTTAAAGCAGCGAAAAGAAGCGCACCATGGGACCTTAAACCATGTGTAAATGTGGAAGCTTCAGTGTGAACGCTGCATGGCTTTAATAAATAATCTAGTTTCTGTAATCTGCTCATTTATTGCTGAGTTTAAGAATGGTGTATAATCTGTTGAGGCGGGACCATCGTTGACACTATTGTTAGCACTATCGTTGGCTCGTGCTCATGTTTGAGAGCAAAGGCTGCTGGGAAAACTCTACTCTGGGCCATCTGGTTTCAGCAGACTGTGGTCTGAGAGACCAGAGAGATCAGACACCAGGGTGACCAGAGATACCAGGGAGACCAGAGAGAGACCAGAGAGAGACCAGTGAGACCAGAGAGACCAGATATATACCAGAGGTAGGGAGACCACAGAGAGACAGACTATAGAGACCATGGAGACAGACCGGCAAAGCCAGAGAGAATGGAGAGACCAGAGAGACTATAGGGAGATTGGAAAGAGCAGATAGAGAGGGAGTCGGACCAGAGAGACCAGGGAAACCATGAAGAGAGTGGAGAGACCAGAGTGACCAGAGACCAGAGAGAGCAAAGATACTAGAGAGACCGGGGAGACCAGTGGGACCAGGAAAACCAGGAAGACCATGGGAAACTTAAGAGACCAGAGTGCTGAGAGTGAGACAAGAGAGACCAGAGAGTTAGATCAGAGAGACCAAAGATAGACCAGAGAGACCAGAGACCAGAGGGACCAGAAAGACCAGGGAGACCATGAAAAACCAGAGAGCGTAGGGAGAGTAGGGAGACCAGATAGACCAGGGAGACTAGACCAGGGTGAGCGAACAGAGAGATTGGAGAGAACAGAGAGACCTGCAGGGAGAAAGACCAGAGAGAGCAGGAGACCAGAGAGACCAGAGAGACCAGAGAGACCAGAGATACCAAAGAGACCAGAGAGACATGGACTCCGACAGTTCTGTAGACAGAGGCTTCAGGGGTTTCCCCTGAGGAGATTTCAGCTCATCTGGAACTAAAGGGAAAGTGATGTTTGCATACAAAGACTGAAAACACGGAGCCACATAATGTCACTGAAGGAGAGAAAACTATGATTTTGCATGAGGAAAAAAGAGCCTGCAAAACAGGATCCAAAATAAAATTTATAGAGCACATTTATTTTATGCACTTTTTTATTTAAACAAAACAAGTTTCCACTGAGACAAAGTAACATCTGTAGACATCCAGCTGTGGGTAAATGAAAAACAGAAGTAAGATAAATAAAACAATAAGATACAATAATAACATTATTATGTCAGTGTCTCCCTCTTCTCTCTCTCTTCTTTTCTCTCTTTAAGGATGTTAATAATCTTAAACTATATACAATAAACATGTTCCCAGTCGCAGCAGCTTCATGCTGTGTTGCTGCCGTAGCAGAATTTTCTCAGAATAAATAATTTACTCTGTATTCTGTGGGACTTTCTGTTTCATGTGACTGTGTCCAACTATCTCTCTCCTCTATCTCCTCTATCTCTCCTCTCACTCCTCCCTCTCTTTATCTTTCCTCCCTCTCTCTCTCCTCTCTCTCCACTTTCTTTTCTCTCCCCATCGCTCTTTCTCTCCTCCCTCTCTCTCATCTGTCTTCTCTCAGCTATTTCTCCTCTCTAACTCTCCTGCACTCTACTTCTCTCTCACCCTCTCCTCTTTCTCCTCTCCATCTCTCTCGGCCCTTTCTTCTCCCCCCCTCTCTCTGTCTCTTTCTCTCCTTCCCTCTCTGTCCCCAACTTCTCTCCCTCCCTCTCTTCCTCTCTCTCTGTCCCCACCTTCTCACCCTTTCTCTCTCCTCTCCCCTCCTTCTTTCCCTCTCTCTCTCCCTCTCTCTCTATATTTCCCCTCTCTCTCCCCACTGTCCTATATAAAGTGGCGCTCGCGCGCACCGGGAGCAGTTCCTCCGGAGCTGCGGGCAGAGCACTTGTGATGAGAACTCTAAAGTTTGCTGCGCGGTGATCCGTGAGCCCCGGGGCGTCGGAAGATGGCAGAGTGGACTAACAGTTCGTGGAACCGCTCTGCGGGACAGGGTCCGGGACAGGGTCTGACCGGCCTGGAGGACATTGACGTTACAGACGGATCTCCCGCGCTCCGTATCCTGATCTCCATCGTGTACAGTGTGGTGTGCGCCGCGGGGCTCCTGGGGAACCTCCTGGTGCTGTTCCTGATGCGGGCCCCCCGCGGCGGCCGCAAGCGCTCCAGCATTAACCTATTCATCCTGAACCTCGCGCTCACAGACTTCCAGTTTGTGCTGACGCTGCCGTTCTGGGCTGTGGACACCGCACTGGACTTCAGCTGGCCGTTCGGCGGTGCCATGTGTAAAATCATCCTGTCCGTTACCGTCATGAATATGTACGCCAGCGTCTTCTTCCTCACGGCGATGAGCGTCACGCGCTACTGGTCCGTGGCGTCTGCGCTAAAGGACCGGACTCGGCGGCGCGTGTGCCCGGTGCGCTGGGTGATCTTGGGGCTCTGGGTGTCCGCCACCGCGGCCTCGTTACCGACTGCTGTGTTCTCCACGGTGCGGGACGTGGCAGGAGAGCGCCTCTGTCTGCTGGGCTTCCCGGACGGTCAGTCCTGGCTCGCACTCTATCACCTGCAGAAGATCCTCGTGGCCTTCGTGTTCCCGATGCTCACGGTGACCGTGTGTTACCTGCTGCTGCTGCGCTTCGTGCGCGCACGGAGCATGAACAACAACCACGTGAAGCGGCGCTCACGCGTCACGCGCTCCGTGACCATCGTGGTGCTGTCCTTCTTCGTGTGCTGGATGCCGAACCACGCCATCACGTTTTGGGGCGTCCTGGTGAAGTTTAACGTGGTAAACTGGGACCGTACGTACTACATGGTGCACACGTACGTGCACCCGCTCACTGTGTGCCTCGCGCACACCAACAGCTGCCTGAACCCGGTGCTGTACTGCCTCATGCGCCGCGAGTTCCGGAAGAAGCTGAAGGATCTGTTCTGGAGGATGTCGACCCCCCCGGGTCCGGGCACGTGCCCCCTGCGTCCCTTTTCTGGCACTGTGCGCGTGGAGCCCGAGGATACGCATGTCGTGATCCCACTGCACCACGTGGACACCGAGAACTGCCGTCTTTCGGTGCTCACGTGCGACACCGAGCCGCTGCCGAAGTGACGTTAGTGCTGTCCCCGTGCGCCTCACGGTTTAACGCCTCAAAAACAGACTCTCACACCTGCCTCAAACGTCAACTACAGATTCTGCTTCTGCCTCAAAAGTCAAATACAGACTCTGCGTCTGCCTCAAATGTCCCACTGCCGCGGGCCGTGCGTATTGGCACAGTACGTAATGGATTCTGTGCGTAATGGCACTGTGCGTAAAGGACGGTGGACTCCTTGCTGCCCGAGCGCGCGCTGTTCTGTGTTGGAATGTTTCACTTTTTCTAGTTTCACTGTTGAAAATATCCACCAGGACCAGGACCTGGACCATGGGCCTGGACCTGGACCAGGGCCTGGGCCTGGACGTGGACGAGGCGCCTGTGATGTCGTCTCGTGGAGTCTCTGTGTTTGTTGTGACGCTTGAGTCGTGAATGTAAAACCATGACAACCTTAAACGGGGCTATCTTCATCCTCCTCTTCCTCACCTCGTGCTGCTGTCTCTGACCTGTTCTTCACAGTTTTATCTCTGTTCTGTTTACAAAGCAGTCTGTGATCCATGGGGCCTCCCTCACCTTCAACCTCATCCTCTTCCTCACCCTCTCCTTCACTCTCTCTCTCCCTCTCCATCACCCTCTACCTCATCCTCTCCATCACCCTCTCCCTCGCCCTCTCCTTCACCCTCTCTCACTCTCTCTCTCCCTCTCCATCACCCTCTACCTCATCCTCTCCATCACCCTCTCCCTCGCCCTCTCCTTCACCCTCTCTCACCCTCTCTCTCCCTCTCCTTCACCCTCTTCCTTATCCTCTCCCTCACAGAAGGGTTGTAACAGACTGAACCTGAGAGTTTGGCCTCATAAACTGAAGACTGTGTTGATAGAGATAATGTAGACGAAAAGACGTCGTGTTGAGGAGGTGAGCTCGATGAGGGAGCGGCTTCTGCTTCAGAAAGAGTTTGTGTTTGAAACTCTTACTTGGTTCCCGTGGATTTGAATGTTTGAAATCACCTGAAAACAGCAGAGAATGTTGCGTCTGCTTCACATTTATCAGAACAAAGACTAAGCAGCTGATAGGATTCTGTGCAGGGATTTTACACTTATTTTTTTATATTGAACGAAGAAACACTTGAAAAAATGAAGCTATTTTCTGACATCATTAACTGCATATTTTCCTAAAGGCGACTGTCGTGCTGTAGACTGTGCACATAGTGTGTGACATCACTCTCTATGACACATATGTAGCCCCATAAGCACAACTGTTTTTGTTTTATTTAATCATTATTTATTAGTATTTTTTTCTGGTGAACGACCAAAGATCTGTCTCAAAGTGCAATATGGTACATGTCAATTCTATTGTATTTATTAAACAATGTTTATTGTTCTGCGATCTAACATAAGTTTGTCATTTACTGTAACTTGGGAGAGGGCTGCTTCGTCCAATCAGGAAGATTCCATCCAGGCAGCAGTTTGAGCAGAGACACAGACTTCCCCCTCCCCAAACACTTCCTCCAGCTCATCTGCGGGAATCCTGAAGCGTTCCCAGGCCAGATGAGAGACTTCTCTGTCCTGGGTCTTCCCCTGGTCTTCTCACTTTGTGACATGCCCTGTGAAAAGTGCAGCAGACCAGACTTTGATGTCAAACATTTTTCATTATTTTATATTTTTGTTTGACAAATAAGTACTAAAAAAACGAATTATCATAGCACCCTATGCAATACTTATTTTATCACTTTATTGATCTCTCCCTTTACTTAAAATATTAAGTAAATCAATCACTTCAATGTCATAGTGTTGTCTTCTGCCAAATGGAATTTATAATTTTTATTATTTGATAAAGAGCTGAAGTTGACATTACACAAAAAGGCCCATGGAACCTCTTTTGATGATTTTTTAATGTCTGATACAAGCAACATTTTTTTAAGTGTGCTCAAAACAGAAGATAAAGTAAATGTCTTATAATTCTGAAGTTAAAGAATAGCCGTGCATCTGTTCACTGTGCTGTGTCCTGATCAAACACACAAACATGTGATGTCACACACAGGTGGAGGACTCCTCTGCTCAGCCCTGGTTACACTTCGTTGTCCTCGTCACAAATGTCCAAAGAGGTTTAAACATGCTTTGCTCTCGTTCGTCTCTTTGATCTCTGAATTCTCTGGTTCTTGTCTGACGGACTCTCAGCTGCACGGACTGTTGGAACCAAATGTCTGTGTGGACAAATAAAGATTTAAAGGGCTGGATCTGCCTCTCTCTCTCTCTCTCTCTCTCTCTCTCTGTCTCTGTTTTTCTCTCTGTCTCTCTCTCTGTGTATCTCGCTCTCTAACTTTCTCCTCTCTCATACTTTCCTCTATCTCATTTTCTCTCAGTCTCTCATTTTCTCTCAGTCTCTCTCTCACTGTCTCTCTCTCTCTCCCTCTCTATCTCCCTCTCGCTCGCTCTCTCTCTCTTGTTTTTGTAGGTTGTAATATGGTTAATTTCCTCACCGTGGGACAAATAAAGGATCTTTACGTCTTGATTTTAATTCAGGATCTTAATCTTAATCGTATCTTAATGGATTTAAGTCTCCAAACATAATCAGTTATGAGGAACACAGGTCACAGGGACATGTGGAAGCATCAAGAGAAATCAAACACAATGTTAGTTAGTCTCTGGTCTCTCTCTCTGCTCTCTCTCTTTGGTCTCTCTCTCTTTGGTCTCTCTGCTCTCTCTCTTTGGTCTCTCTCTCTTTGGTCTCTCTGCTCTCTCTCTTTGGTCTCTCTCTCTTTGGTCTCTCTGCTGTCTCTCTTTGGTCTCTCTGCTCTCTCTCTTTGGTCTCTCTCTGCAAAAGATAACGTCAGGCCAGTACAACAACATTGTACTATAAGATTATTATTTGTGGTATTTATGTTTCCTTAAAAGTGAGGTACCCGAGCTTTAAAATGTTTGATCAGTGTTATTGTCGGAGAAAAACAATAACAAATACCAAGTTCTTACAGTGTCTTTGCCCCCAAACATGATACATATATAAATAAATATTGAATATATTTTCTCTGACTGTAATAAGAGCTTTGACTGTGTCCAGCGTCTGAACACACCCTGGAGCTCGTAAACCCAGAGACCGGACCCTGGATCCGCTGTAAAACCATGGTCAAACAGAGTCCACTGGACTTTGCTCCTCAGAGGGGCGGAGCCTCTCTGTCCTGCAGCCAACACTGAGGATGTGTGTGATATGGTTTTAACACAGAACAGTGTTTCAGTTTCATCTGATTCAGCTTCATCTACAGCTTCATTCAAAAACAGAAGCAAACATTATTTTTAGTGCAGAAGAAAGTCAAACCATAAATGAATCAATCTTAACTATTCTACAGTAGAATCTTTCATGTTTGGCTTTATCTCTGCAGGGAGGAAAAATAAGTCAAACAATTTCAAATTTGGCAAAATGTAACCTAATTTTGGCACATTCTGACAGCCTTAGAACAAGATTTTTAATTACGTCTTTGATTTTTGGACCCTGTAGCACTCACTCCTCCTGTTTTATGAGCCTTTAAACAAGATTTACCAACGGAACAAAAACATTGATCTTGTTTCAATTTGATACAAAAAAGGTCTCCCTTGAATGAATGAGAAAATAGAGCAACAGTTCTTGAATTGAAACTAATTGGCTTTGTCCCTTTGGCAAATCTTGTTTTTAGGCAGTAAGAATGTAGCATCTCAGATTAAGATTTAAAAAAAAACATTAATTTATTATCTCTTTTCAGTTTTTGAAGAAATTTTACAAAACCCAAAACATTTTGTAAAATTCCCCCCCAAAAAATGACTTGACTTTACTTTAGCAGTGACTTGGCTGTATCCAAATGGGAGGTGTCGATAAAACTGTTACTTTTCAAAAATAAAACATTTGTATGGAAGTATTTTTGCTGCTGGACACCTGAATCTCTCTCTCTCTGGTCTCTCTCTCTTTATCTGGTCTCTCTCTCCTTCTCTCTCTCTCTCTCTCCCTCTCTTTCACTCTCTCTCTCTCCCTCTCTTTATCTCTCTCTCTCACTCTCTTTCACTCTCTGTCTCTCTCTCTCTCTTTCTGGATTCTCTTTTTCCTGTGTCTCTCTCTCTTCATCTGGTCTCTATCTCCTTCTCTCTGCCCGTCTCTCTCTCTTTCTCTCTCTCTATCTCTCTCTCTCTCTCTGTCTCTCGCTCTGTCTTTCTTTCACTCTCTGTCACTGCTTCATCATTATCTTCATCATCATCTTCATAATCACATTCATCATCATCTTCATCATCACCTGCTTCATCATCACCTTCATCATCTTCTTCATCATCACCTTCATCATCATCTTCATCATCACCTTCATCATCACCTTCATCATAATCTTCATCATAATCTTCCTTCATCATCACCTTCATCATCATCTTCATCAAAACCTTCATCATCATCTTCATTATCATCTTCATCATCACCTTCATCATCATCTTCATCAAAACCTTCATCATCATCTTCATCATCATCTTCATTATCATCTTCATCATCATCTTTATTATCACCTTCATCATCACCTTCCTGATCACCTTCATCATCCCCTTCATCATCATCTACATCACCTGCTTCATCATCAACTTCATCATCATCTTCATCATCATCTTCCTTATCACCTTCATTATCACCTTCATTATCACCTTCATCATCATCTTCATTATCACCTTCATCATCATCTTCATCATCATCTTCCTTATCACCTTCATCATCCCCTTCATCACCACCTTCATCATCACCTGCTTCATCATCACCTTCATCATAATCTTCATCATCACCTGCTTCATCATCATCTTCATCATCACCTTCATCATCACCTTCATCATCATCTTCATTATCACCTCCATCATCATCTTCATCATCATCTTCATCATCATCTTCCTTATCACCTTCATAATCACCTGCTTCAACATCACCTTCATCACCATCTTCATCATCACCTCCATCAACACCTTCATCGTCATCTTCATCATCACCTTCTTTATCACGTTCTTCATCATCACCTACTTCATCATCATCTTCATCATCACCTTCTTCATCACCTGCTTCATCATCACCTTCATCATCACCACCTTCATCATCATCTTCATTATCACCTTCATCATCATCTTCATCATCACCTTCATCATCATCTTCATCATCATCTTCATCATCACTTTCATCATCACCTTCATCATCATCTTCATCATCACCTTCATCATCAACTTCATCATCATCTTCATCATCACCTTCATCATCACCTGCTTCATCATCACCTTCATCTTCACCTTCATCATCATCTTCATCATTATCATATTCATCATCACCTTCATCATCACCTGCGTCATCATCACCTTCATGATCACCTTCATCAACATCTTCATCTTCATCACCACCTTCATCATCATCTTCATCATCACTTTCATCATCACCTTCATCATCACCTTCATCATCACCTCCATCATCACCTTCATCATCACCTCCATCATCACCTTCATCATCACTTTCATCATCACCTTCATCATCATCTTCATTATCACCTTCATCATCACCTGCTTCATCATCACCTTCATCTTCACCTTCATCATCACCTTCATTGTCACCTTCATCTTCACCTTCATCATCATCTTCATCATCACCTTCATCTTCATCATCACTTTCATCATCACCTTCATCATCATCTTCATTATCACCTTCATCATCACCTTCATCTTCACCTTCATCATCACCTTCATTGTCACCTTCATCTTCACCTTCATCATCATCTTCATCATCACCTTCATCATCATCTTCATCATCACTTTCATCATCATATTGATCATCACCTTCATCTTCATCATCACCTTCATCATCACCTTCATCATCATCTTCATCATCACCTTCATCATCACCTTCATCATCACCTGCTTCATCATCACCTTCATCTTCACCTTCATCATCATCATCACCTTCATCATCATATTCATCATCACCTTCATCATCACCTGCGTCATCATCACCTTCATGATCACCTTCATCAACATCTTCATCTTCATCACCACCTTCATCATCATCTTCATCTTCACCTTCATCATCACCTTCATTGTCACCTTCATCTTCACCTTCATCATCATCTTCATCATCACCTTCATCATCATATTGATCATCACCTTCATCATCATCTTCATCATCACCTTCATCATCACCTTCATCATCATCTTCATCATCACCTTCATCATCACCTGCTTCATCATCACCTTCATCTTCATCATCACCTTCATCATCATATTCATCATCACCTGCGTCATCATCAGCTTCATGATCACCTTCATCAACATCTTCATCATCACCTTCATCATCATCTTCATCATCATCTTCATCATCACCTTCATCATCACCTCCATCATCACCTTCATCATCACCTCCATCATCACCTTCACCATCACCTTCATCATCATCACCATCATCACCTTCATCTTCACCTTCATCATCATCTTCATCATCATCTTCATCATCACTTTCATCATCATATTGATCATCACCTTCATCATCACCTGCGTCATCATCACCTTCATGATCACCTTCATCATCACCTTCATCATCATCTTCATCATCATCTTCATCATCACTTTCATCATCACCTTCATCATCACCTTCATCATCACCTCCATCATCGCCTTCATCATCACCTCCATCATCACCTTCATCATCACTTTCATCATCACCTTCATCATCATCTTCATTATCACCTTCATCATCACCTGCTTCATCATCACCTTCATCTTCACCTTCATTGTCACCTTCATCTTCACCTTCATCATCATCTTCATCATCACCTTCATCATCATCTTCATCATCATATTGATCATCACCTTCATCATCATCATCTTCATCATCACCTTCATCATCATCTTCATCATCACCTTCATCATCACCTTCATCATCACCTGCTTCATCTTCACCTTCATCATCATCTTCATCATCACCTTCATCATCATAATCATCATCACCTCCATCATCACCTTCATCATCACCTCCATCATCACCTTCACCATCACCTTCATCATCATCACCTTCATCATCACCTGCTTCATCATCACCTTCATCTTCACCTTCATCATCATCTTCATCATCACCTTCATCATCACCTTCATCATCACCTGCGTCATCATCACCTTCATGATCACCTTCATCAACATCTTCATCATCACCTTCATCATCATCTTCATCACCACCTTCATCATCATCTTCATCATCACTTTCATCATCACCTTCATCATCACCTTCATCATCACCTTCATCATCACCTCCATCATCACCTTCATCATCACCTTCATCATCATCTTCATCATGATATTCATCATCACCTTCATCATGACCTCCATCATGATCTCCATCATTGCCTGCTTCATCATCGCCTGCTTCATCGTCACCTTCATCATCACTTCAGCTGCAGTTATAATCCATCTCGACCAGAGGATTAAATGGACTCAAACGTGTGGTATTCGCCCCAAACACTTTTACACTAAGAAGAAAAACCACCAACACACCTCTGTCACACAGCCTCCCACATCCAAGAAGGAAGAGGGTCAAAACAGCAGAGAATAGCACTGGGTTACACTGATGCGATTGGTGTTGTGCCAGTGAGCAACGCCAGCTGGATGGTGCCTCTCCCTCACGGTCCAACAGAGACAGAGAAAGAGGACCCCAACTGCACGTAATGAGGTCAGTAACTGTTCCATGAGTCAAAAAGTCAAAGAAAGTGTTAATTGCGACAGTTTCACATGGTGTATTTGTGATGTCACGTCTTTAGATCAGCTTTTATCTGGTCTCTGTCTGTTCTCTCTTTCTCTGGTCTCTCTCTCCCTCTCTCTGGTCTCTCTCTGACTCTCTTTCTCTCTCTCTGGTCTCTCTCTCTGGTGTCTCTCTTTCTCTTGTCTTTCTCTGTTCTTTCTCTCTGGTTTCTCTCTTTGGTCTCTCACTAGTCTCTTGCTAATCTCTCGCTAGTCTCTTGCTAGTATCTCTCTGGTCGCTTTGGTCTCTCTGGTCTCTTTATGGTCTCTTTGGTCTCTCTGGTCTCTTTATGGTCTCTTTAGTCTGTCTCTGGTCTCCATGTTGCTGCTGTTTTAATGAGAATAAAAACCCGCCATCAACAATACCAGCAGCAGAGACAGGGGACCATGTGAGCTGCCACTGCTCATTAGAATACATACATTAAAGTGAGTGTTGCATGGAACATATCTATAATGACTTAAAACAGCAGTATCACTGCTCCCAAAGGCTCAGGTTATTGAATTGTACTGTATTAATTATTCAGTAATGAGCTACTGGGGAAAAGTCGAAGAGAACACCTTCCAGTCTGGTTTTCACTTCATGGTCCAAACGGTGAAGACTCCTGTGAGGAACAGCTGTAAGGGCACCGCACATTTGCTTTTACATTAAAATAACATCAGTACGATTTCAGAAAACCAATGTATTTGTAATGATGTGCGTTGCACTCCCAGGCGCTCATTATCTTTGCATAGTCACATCTGAGACGGAGACGGATGGTCTGAGACGGAGATTGAGCTGTGTTCAAAACACAATCAGGATACAGAGGAGCCTTTATCTATATTTACTCTCACAACTTGTTTGCACCGTGGACAAAAGTAAATTGCTTGTTTGTGACTTCCTGTTACTGCTCCTGCAATAAAATAATTCTGATTCAGGTTCTGATTTAGATGGATGATGCTAACAGACTGTACACAGATGGATGATGCTAACACAGACTGTATACAGATGGATGATGCTAACACAGACTGTATACAGATGGATGATGCTAACATAGACTGTATACAGATGGATGATGCTAACATAGACTGTATACAGATGGATGATGCTAACATAGACTGTATACAGATGGATGATGCTAACACAGACTGTATACAGATGGATGATGCTAACAGACTGTATACAGATGGATGATGCTAACACAGACTGTATACAGATGGATGATGCTAACACAGACTGTATACAGATGGATGATGCTAACAGACTGTACACAGATGGATGATGCTAACACAGACTGTATACAGATGGATGATGCTAACACAGACTGTATACAGATGGATGATGCTAACACAGACTGTATACAGATGGATGATGCTAACAGACTGTACACAGATGGATGATGCTAACACAGACTGTATACAGATGGATGATGCTAACACAGACTGTATACAGATGGATGATGCTAACATAGACTGTATACAGATGGATGATGCTAACACAGACTGTATACAGATGGATGATGCTAACATAGACTGTATACAGATGGATGATGCTAACACAGACTGTATACAGATGGATGATGCTAACATAGACTGTACACAGATGGATGATGCTAACACAGACTGTATACAGATGGATGATGCTAACATAGACTGTACACAGATGGATGATGCTAACACAGACTGTATACAGATGGATGATGCTAACACAGACTGTATACAGATGGATGATGCTAACATAGACTGTATACAGATGGATGATGCTAACATAGACTGTACACAGATGGATGATGCTAACACAGACTGTATACAGATGGATGATGCTAACACAGACTGTATACAGATGGATGATGCTAACATAGACTGTATACAGATGGATGATGCTAACATAGACTGTACACAGATGGATGATGCTAACATAGACTGTACACAGATGGATGATGCTAACACAGACTGTATACAGATGGATGATGCTAACATAGACTGTATACAGATGGATGATGCTAACACAGACTGTACACAGATGGATGATGCTAACATAGACTGTACACAGATGGATGATGCTAACACAGACTGTATACAGATGGATGATGCTAACATAGACTGTATACAGATGGATGATGCTAACACAGACTGTATACAGATGGATGATGCTAACACAGACTGTACACAGATGGATGATGCTAACACAGACTGTATACAGATGGATGATGCTAACACAGACTGTATACAGATGGATGATGCTAACAGACTGTACACAGATGGATGATGCTAACACAGACTGTATACAGATGGATGATGCTAACACAGACTGTATACAGATGGATGATGCTAACAGACTGTACACAGATGGATGATGCAAACAGACTGTATACAGATGGATGATGCTAACATAGACTGTATACAGATGGATGATGCTAACATAGACTGTATACAGATGGATGATGCTAACATAGACTGTATACAGATGGATGATGCTAACAGACTGTACACAGATGGATGATGCTAACATAGACTGTATACAGATGGATGATGCTAACATAGACTGTATACAGATGGATGATGCTAACACAGACTGTATACAGATGGATGATGCTAACAGACTGTATACAGATGGATGATGCTAACACAGACTGTACACAGATGGATGATGCTAACAGACTGTACACAGATGGATGATGCTAACACAGACTGTATACAGATGGATGATGCTAACAGACTGTACACAGATGGATGATGCTAACAGACTGTACACAGATGGATGATGCTAACACAGACTGTACACAGATGGATGATGCTAACACAGACTGTACACAGATGGATGATGCTAACATAGACTGTATACAGATGGATGATGCTAACACAGACTGTATACAGATGGATGATGCTAACAGACTGTACACAGATGGATGATGCTAACATAGACTGTATACAGATGGATGATGCTAACATAGACTGTATACAGATGGATGATGCTAACATAGACTGTACACAGATGGATGATGCTAACATAGACTGTATACAGATGGATGATGCTAACAGACTGTATACAGATGGATGATGCTAACATAGACTGTACACAGATGGATGATGCTAACAGACTGTATACAGATGGATGATGCTAACATAGACTGTATACAGATGGATGATGCTAACAGACTGTACACAGATGGATGATGCTAACACAGACTGTATACAGATGGATGATGCTAACATAGACTGTATACAGATGGACAATGCTAACACAGACTGTATACAGATGGATGATGCTAACAGACTGTACACAGATGGATGATGCTAACATAGACTGTATACAGATGGATGATGCTAACATAGACTGTATACAGATGGATGATGCTAACACAGACTGTATACAGATGGATGATGCTAACATAGACTGTATACAGATGGATGATGCTAACATAGACTGTATACAGATGGATGATGCTAACATAGACTGTATACAGATGGATGATGCTAACAGACTGTAATACAGATGGATGATGCTAACACAGACTGTACACAGATGGATGATGCTAACATAGACTGTACACAGATGGATGATGCTAACATAGACTGTATACAGATGGATGATGCTAACACAGACTGTACACAGATGGATGATGCTAACACAGACTGTATACAGATGGATGATGCTAACATAGACTGTATACAGATGGATGATGCTAACACAGACTGTATACAGATGGATGATGCTAACACAGACTGTATACAGATGGATGATGCTAACATAGACTGTACACAGATGGATGATGCTAACATAGACTGTATACAGATGGATGATGCTAACATAGACTGTATACAGATGGATGATGCTAACATAGACTGTACACAGATGGATGATGCTAACATAGACTGTATACAGATGGATGATGCTAACACAGACTGTATACAGATGGATGATGCTAACATAGACTGTATACAGATGGATGATGCTAACACAGACTGTATACAGATGGATGATGCTAACATAGACTGTATACAGATGGATGATGCTAACAGACTGTATACAGATGGATGATGCTAACACAGACTGTATACAGATGGATGATGCTAACATAGACTGTACACAGATGGATGATGCTAACACAGACTGTATACAGATGGATGATGCTAACACAGACTGTATACAGATGGATGATGCTAACACAGACTGTACACAGATGGATGATGCTAACACAGACTGTACACAGATGGATGATGCTAACACAGACTGTATACAGATGGATGATGCTAACATAGACTGTATACAGATGGATGATGCTAACAGACTGTACACAGATGGATGATGCTAACACAGACTGTATACAGATGGATGATGCTAACAGACTGTACACAGATGGATGATGCTAACACAGACTGTATACAGATGGATGATGCTAACATAGACTGTATACAGATGGATGATGCTAACATAGACTGTATACAGATGGATGATGCTAACATAGACTGTACACAGATGGATGATGCTAACACAGACTGTATACAGATGGATGATGCTAACACAGACTGTATACAGATGGATGATGCTAACACAGACTGTATACAGATGGATGATGCTAACATAGACTGTATACAGATGGATGATGCTAACAGACTGTATACAGATGGATGATGCTAACACAGACTGTATACAGATGGATGATGCTAACAGACTGTATACAGATGGATGATGCTAACATAGACTGTATACAGATGGATGATGCTAACAGACTGTACACAGATGGATGATGCTAACATAGACTGTACACAGATGGATGATGCTAACACAGACTGTATACAGATGGATGATGCTAACATAGACTGTACACAGATGGA